TATACCAAGCGTGCGTATATGTGCAGGTAATAGTCGGTCTTGAAACCGGGCGATCGGATTTGTCGAGTAACTCCGGCTTACTTAACTGGAGTTGCTGGACTAATCAAAATCGTCAATTTCTAATTTTTCATCGACAGATTCTTTACAATTTGCTTCTTGCAATTCGAACGATGTAAATTTTGTAAATTTGTATACGTACGTGGATAAAGATCCGTACCCTTTATATCATTTTCCCTTATTTATCTCTCGTTTTCGTTTCTTAGATATGAATTTTACCCTACAATTAACCACTAATGTTAAGAATTTGTTTACGATGCCGACTTGATAGAAATATTTAATAAATTTCACACATTTCTGTGAAATTCATTTACAATTAATTCTTTCAGCTTTGTTTAATTTCTCGAATCTGCTTCCAAAGTTTTGCAAATCGAATTGTTTTCCCAACGGTGTCCTCTTTTAACGGTTTATCATAAATTCAATTCAAGTGTGCATGCTATGACTCACTAGAGTTAGTTGTCTGGCAAAGCAGGCCGATTGGGCGCCATGTTTTTATCGTTTGCTACCAAGAGGTAGTTTACGAAAAAAATATGTATGATAACATCTTGCAAAGTACTTTCTTTCGTTCGTACGCTGCCACAAATCGAAAGTACAATCTTTTTTAATGTTCATGAGTAATTTAAAATTTTTATTTACTCAAGTTCGAAAATATCATTCTTCGAGCCGGATTTTTCAAATCTGTTGCCTCAAAAAAACTTTTGTAATTTTCTCAGTTTTTGTTTATTACGTATAACGATAGGTTTTTATAGCAATATTATTTACTAATTAATTGCACGTTATTTGTGCTATGCCCTATTGAAATATCATGAATTGTAACATATTTCAGTATGAGTATTTTTTAAATAAAAAAAAAATGTATCGCCACGAGTACAACTGTTCTCAAAATTATAAACTACTTTCATTACATAAAAGTGTTATTGTACAATTATTTAAAAGCTTAACTTAGAGTCTTCATTTATTTGAGGATTATTTATATTTTAGGTTAGCCCTCTATGTGTACGAATACCTACTACATGTTGGCGCACAAAAAGCAGCACAGACATTTTTATCGGAGGTAATAATTTTCAATTGTTTTAATAATTCAATGAAACCTGTGAAAAAGATAATTATATGTATATTGTTGCTGTAATTATATCTTATTCTGTTGTATAGATACGGTGGGAAAAAAATATTACTCTTGGCGAACCACCTGGATTTTTGCATTCTTGGTGGTGGTAAGCATTATTTATTTATTATTTTACTTTTCTACTACAAAAAGTAACAAAGTAATATTTTAATTAGAGAATATCACAATTTAGTGTATATTTTTCACGTTCATATGCACAGAAAATAATCAATTTCAAACATTTTAGTGTATTTTGGGACTTATATTCAGCGGCACCAGAACGAAGGGATTCCTGTGAACATAGCAGTGAAGCCAAAGCTTTTCATGATTATGTTAGTATAGTTTTATTATTAGTAGATATGATAAAAATTATAAATTACATGATATAAATGTATAAAAAAACTTGACATTGTCTGTAGATAGTCCAAATACATTCCACATACTATCGAATGGTGTTACCAGACAATATAAGTTGGCTATCTATGGAATGTCATGCATCTAATTATTGTTCTTAATCATTTTATTGAGTCAGATTGCTATCATGGTTTCTAGAGCATATATGTTCTTAAATTTGCGAAAAAGAAAACAAGAAGTTATTATACGATTTGAAAACTAAATTCCTAATCAGAGAATTTGAGAATTGAGCCCCAAAAATAATTCTGGATTTAGAAATTTGTAGATATCTGATTTTGGATGCTTTACGTTTTCTTATAACTTATTTACAAGAAATGGAGTACATAATAATGTAATGTATAACATAATATACAGAGATATAATGGAATACAATAAATATAATAATGGAAACAAAAGAAGATAAAAATATACTTAATACAATACAGAAATATAATATGTTTATTGCATAAAAACTGCAATGTAAAACTAAGCAATGAAAATATTGTTCATTTGCGTATTTCATTCGTCATTTGTCCACAGACATATGTTTCTCATTTTTCATTGTAACAGAGGATTAATATTTGTTCTATTGCTACTGAACACATGTTTGTGGACAATTTGTCTGTCAATTTGGATTAAAAAAATTTCTTTTTGTTATCAGGGTTTTGTGAACAGTGGTTATGGTGTTAATGGCATTGCTCATGTAAGTTGAATTTTATTTTGATATTTATAAAACATGTTGATTCATTTATAATATTTTATTCTACATTATAATATGATTTAATTTCATATATATACTTATAAATAATAGTTGTAATAAATTAAATAGCATATGTAGATAACAGAGATTTTTATTAGAATTTGCATGTGAAATTAGTACTGGTTAATTAATTATTAGATGTTGAAATTTGGCTGTTAGATAATCATCAGATGATTGCAGAATGCTGGTCCAGCGCCTTCTCCCATAGGACAAATGCCACCCAATGATGGTATGCCCGGTGGTCCAATGCCTCCAGCATTTTTCCCTGTAAGTTTTTTTTACATCTTTATACTGATAACAATTTTATTTTACTTAATTTCATCTTGAGAATTGAAAAAATTAAAGAATTTCGAATTATTTTGTTTATATGTTTTGTTTTATTCATATGTTTATATGTTTTGTTAATGAATTATTACTTTTATATTCTACTGTTCAAATACAAATAAGAAAATATCTTTTTAATAGAAAATGTTTATTAATAATTTTCTCAAGTTTTAAAAAAAAGTAATTATGAATTTCCAAATTCTTCTACTATAATTTATATTACAATTAATAAGTTACTATGAATTTATATTACAATTAATAAGTTACTGTGCCTTTTATATCTAAATGTACATATACACATACATTATGTGTATATATCTTTTTCAAGAGAGAAGAGACGAGTGGAGAAATTAAAAAAAAATGTTTTTACTACACATAACTTTACTATTACAACAATTATGTATAACGTAAACTGAAATACACTATTAAATGTTTTTAAGCTCAGTTTTTTCTGAAAGGAACAAAAATATTCTAATCTTTCCAATTTTTATTATAGAGAAATCAGACATATTAACTGTATATAAACACATATCACAATATTTATATGTATATACATACATAAATATATATAAATATCTGTTATCATTGTTATGCCTAGTTACAATTCTCATGCATTATAATTTTACACTTGATTCAAAGCCCCTAATATTTTATTAAATATATTAAGTATGATAAACTTTGGTAAATAAAACAACATTCCAAATATTGTTACTGATTGTTATTAATTTAAATGATTCATTGATATTATATCATTCTGGTAATCTTTAATTAAATTGTTAATAACTTTACACTTTTGGTAAATACAGCCTAGTAATACATGAACATGAAATGATAATGCATAATCTAATTATTTATAATACATAAATACGATTTTATTGAAAATAATTCTATTAATATAATAGTAATTTATACGTAAAAAAATCTGTTATATCGTAGTCAATGCATACATATAATCAGACATTAGTCTTTTACACATAATACCACAATCCTAGAAGTTTGTTCATCTGATTACTGTAAATGTACACAGTTGTCATTGAAACATACATTGGTTTTGAAACAAGTGTACATTTCAATAAGATTCTTATGCCATGCTTGTCTATACTGTATCTATGTACTTATTTTCTCTCTGCTATGTATCTAACACTGTATGTGCGTTCCTCTATCATTTTCACTTTCTGATCTCCTTTCTGCATAAAGCAGATTTCAGAAATTTACCAGGAAAAGTTTTGTATAGATGTTAGAGAATAGCTTTAGTTTCAATAATTTTATATTGTAGGTCCATCATTGACGGTGTTCCACCTTGTGCTGACTCTGGTTCTGTGCAAACACATCACAATTGTTTCGCAATAATAGATTGTTAGCATTGTTACATTTATCGAGTTATATTTGCAATTTGTTCCTTTATTCAAATTATTATTTACTTTTCTCATTTACCTTGATATCTTAGTATCATCATATTTTTAATTCGGACTCTATAAACAAAAGCATGTATATACTCATAGAATAATATTTTGAGACAGAATTTTTTTATAATTCTTAATATACAACGCACTATAAAAAGTAAAAGAATGTCAGCTGGGGTCGCACTTCTTAGGATTTTCAATATATCTAACATAAAAGCCTGCTTAGATAGTAGTCTAGCATTCAGTACAAGCGGTCTACGAATTTAATGAAAATATAACATATACTACTATCTTTTACATTGTGAGAAAGATCAGATTTATATCTATGTGTATCATACACGTTTACATAATATGATAAGTATATCCTTAGGAACTAAAAGCACAGTACTTTATAACAGATAGCAAAATCATTTTATGAGAAGAATATATTCTCGTTGACCGCTTACTATAACATCTAAACAACAATATATAAGTAGGTGAAGAAAAGTTTCTAGTTGTGCATATATTTTGCTTGTCCGAGCATTTACTGTCCTCTGAATCATTTTAGGTTAACGATCTACAAGTTTAGATAAAAACTATTGTGATTTCAGTTTGATATATCTGTATATA